CTACACGGTATAGGTATACACTAATATACACAAAGCCGAAGGCAGTTTTACGCAATACCATAATATTGTATTCGAACGAAGTTGTATAATAGCAAGTACCAATGACTATTGGCAATTTTTTTTTTTATAAATATATATATTAATATGTTAAACGTAAAAATATTGTTAAGTGCACGTGAGTATGTGTGTGTGTGTGTGTAGCCATCGACGTGGAGCTGCACATCGATGACGACCAAAACTGGACTGGTTTTCATATACCGAACGACCACGAAATTCGCTTTTACACAATGTTCTGATTTCTAGGACCTACCACACGTTTTGTATAACCAAATCGCTTTGCATATTATACGGGACGTACCTACTATGTAATATGAAAAATACACTCAAGCGAAGGTGAATCAAAACGTGTTATTATCGTGTATTCAGATATTGTGTCGAAAACCTGTTGCATTGGAAATCCACTAGTTCCACGACTATAGCACCAAATTTATACTAAAAATTCATAATATATGTGCATGATATAAATAAAGATAAAGATGTCATGATCACCATCAGGTAAGAACATCTTCAGCGTTGCAGATAAATTAAATTTGATATTGCTCACGCTTAGGCATACGTAAAACTTAATGCGTCACGTGTGTGTGATGTGGACAACGTTTGCCTTAAATATTGCGAGTGCAAGCCTACTGCAGTATTAAATACAGTTAAGGTCCTCCAGTCGCACTCGAGGATAACCAAATTTTGAAAAGAAATTTGTATTGAGGCAAGTATGAAAAACGACATTTTTGAAAATTATGCAATGAATCTTTTTTATTTGAGAAACGTCTGAAAGTGGTTATTACTTAAAAATTGTTAGGGTTTAATTAAAGCGTGATTAATGATTATACATTTTATGKTGATGTTATGTTTTCTACTGTTTTTCGATCTTTCTGAAAATAACAAATYTAAGTATTCATATAAATCGCATCTATAAATTAGATACCACTTAGGTTMAATTTTTATCTACAGAGCAGCGTTAACTTTTGTGGAATAGTTGAACAGTTCTATGACCTAAAAAAATGCTAAGACTAGACAAATAACAATCATGGTAAGAACGCGTTTACTACCAAACAATTATAATAATCTAAAGCGTATCTGGTTCAAAACTGCARTAGTATATTGGTGTGTGTATGGAGTATGGACTCGCAACTACTGTAAGAGACTTAAATGTTGAATAGGTGCTAGAAGGGCTGAAAATYAGCACCCACAAATTACATTTAACCCTAGAACAATGACGAAAACTGATAATTGTWCTATACTAATTATTTTGGCGTGTTTATCGTATACACTCTTCTAACTCCAATCTACCTCTCATTCTCATAAACATCGTTGGATATATTTAATAACAAAATACAGCATCAGATTATTGTTGATATCGTTTAGCGACAATAATAGATGGTCTTTTTGACCGACTATTTCGCTAAATTCGTGTCGGAAAAAACCTATTCTGTATTATAATAGTCAATTTATTGAATGCGTGGGATAGTAAGTAATAAAAAGGTACATACTACACAGGTATCTAGTTAGTTTGTATACTACCTATATTATATAGAGGTAAGTATTCTCGGGTTTATTTATNCTATACTAATTATTTTGGCGTGTTTATCGTATACACTCTTCTAACTCCAATCTACCTCTCATTCTCATAAACATCGTTGGATATATTTAATAACAAAATACAGCATCAGATTATTGTTGATATCGTTTAGCGACAATAATAGATGGTCTTTTTGACCGACTATTTCGCTAAATTCGTGTCGGAAAAAACCTATTCTGTATTATAATAGTCAATTTATTGAATGCGTGGGATAGTAAGTAATAAAAAGGTACATACTACACAGGTATCTAGTTAGTTTGTATACTACCTATATTATATAGAGGTAAGTATTCTCGGGTTTATTTATRACTATTTATACGATTGATGAAAAATTAAATCATRGACAATAATATTAAAATGTAAGAAAGTATACGTCATCTTAAGAAACGCGCGTAAAATTCACTGGAAATAACTTATCCGTCTATTTATAATAATATAATCGTCGATTAGATAATTATTATTTCAGGCAATACAATATGTGTAATGAAAAAGGTAGGTATATCATGTTGGACGTTCGAGCGTCAAACCCGAGTCGTCATCCTGTCGAATTAGCCATATAACTTTAAAGTGCATGTGGGCAACATCCCTGTAGCGTCATAATATAGGGTCTAGCAAGTCTAAATTTTTACCTATGACAACTCCACACACAATAATTTTGACACCCGCCTATTTCTTATGATTTGCCTTACTATACACAAAGTATAGTTTTTATGTRGCATTGTCGACTTTTAGTTCACAATAACTGTAATATCTAATACAATGATCATCGTGTATTTAGAACGGCAAAGGTRCCTACTACTACCTATCTAAGATCACCTATGACAATAATTGCCGTATATTTTGGCGCCACTGGGTCTGGTGGACACTCTGCGGCGTCGAACCCCACRCGGGACATGCCACAATCACTCGTTGCCATATTGTTATATATTTTGTATAAGATGTCAGAAAATCGCTTACCCTTTGTGTGTTGTGCTGCACCCAGGGCGACGGTCGCGGGTATATCGCGGCAGTATCCAACACCGTACCTTATGTACCATACAATACCGTGGCTATAAACGTTTAGATCGGAGACGATAATAGCCGGAACATCACACTGACGAACGTACCGAGTGCATGGCTGGTACGCATAGAATATCAGTGAAAGACAAAAACGATTATTATTGTTTTACGGTGCGGCGATCGTGCACCACGAGAATCACAGGCCGTTCCGACCGAACGACGCGAACAAACCTGTACGACTGACGGCCGGTCGGCTCGCGCGAAACGTATAATAATAATAATATTATAGGTAATGGTAGGTAGGTAGGTAGGTAGGTACACCGTAATCATAATAATATAAATATAAGTAGGTGGCACCATGCGTAATGATATTCGACAGGCTCGGCGACGGCGGCGGTGGTACCCATTATAAAATCGTCTCGGCGTCTGACAATATTATTATTATTATCATCATCGTCGTCGTCGTAATCACGCCGCCGCCGTAGCATCGACGCTGCCGTATTTTAAGGTATTTTCGGCTGCGTTGAAATCGTTTGGAATAAAATTATTATTATCATACCGAGAAAATATTGTTTTCCGTCGGAATCGCGGCGGCYCGGCGAGGCTGCCGGCGGCGATCGGAATCCATCCAACGCGCGTAGACGACGCTATTATTTYAGTCACACGTCGCGTTTCGTGCACGATTATCATATTAATATCACGTCAAACGGTGGTCGTAGCGGTATTTATATAACCGCAGACACACACGAAATTATTACACAAATAACACACGGCGATCGCGTAAAATTGTACGTTTCCCGATTTTCTCGCACTCGTGTCCGCGGGTATGCCTATACTCACTGGTGACCGCTGGCGCCGTTAATATTATCATGTTATACAATATTATAGTCATTATTATTATT